TCCTAATCCAGACCTAGCAATAATAGAGTAATTAATAAAAGGTATGTTACAGAATTTATTTAAAGTGAGATATATTTTATTAGGTTGTTTTATGATTTTTTTCAAAGAGAGGGAGGGAGCAGCTATTGACCAGGTTTGTATAAAACAATCAATAAAAGAATGAAAATTTGCAAAGAAAATGGAACAACAAACAATTTTAGAGGATATGGAATGGGGGAAAAATCTCCATGGAGTCCACATCAAATGGCAAAGGTCTTAACCATTCTGTCAATGTGACTTTTGAGTGAGAGTTTACTATCAAAAATAAAGCTGAGATTGTTTACAGAATTGATATCTTTCATATGATCAGCACAAATAATGAAGGAAGAAGAACAGGAGAAATTTATAGTTGATAAAAAGCACACAGCAACAGTTTTTTTGAGCATTCATTTTTAAGTTGGCCTTTCCAAATAATTCAGATAGTACGTTTAGGTTTGATTGTAGTGAAATGAAATCACAATTTATTAGTTTAATATCACAGCATAGGCTATAATGTGTGAATTAAGATGACTGAATATATAAATATAAACTGAAAAGGAAAAAAAAACTGCTCAAGATTGAATTTTCCTGAATACAACAGATCAGATAAAAATCAAGCAATTCAAAATTACCTATTTTTATTTTTACTAATGCGTGTAAGGAAATAATTGTTTAACCAAAAATGATAAACAAGATCTAAATCACACTGTTCTTGTATTAAGGTTAGTAATAAATTGGGAAGAATGGAGTCAGAAGCTTAGAAGATATCTATGAATATAATAAAAATGGGACATTTACATTCAAAATTTTGAAAGATTAAAGAAATAGTTTCAAGATTAGTCATGGTTGGATAGAAATGGATGCCACAATGTTGAATTGATAGAAATTTTAAAGAAAATGGGGTATAGATATATATCTGTAAATGCAAATTTCAAAAAATTTTCACTTAGCAGAAGAAATAGTAATTGGAGAGAGAGATTTTTTTTATCATTTTTTTGGAATAGTAATGATAAAAGAAGCAAACCAATGTTTATACTGAGCTGTTTTTGTAAAGATTCTAAAAAACATAACTGCTGATATACAAAGGGTATTTTTAAATAAGGTCCATTTTTTGATAAGAAGAAAAATACTGTACATTTCGTTTAAAAATATTTTTTCCCATATTCTACATACTTTTCTACATAATTTCTATTTTTGTTCAAACATTTGCATACCGCCCAAAAATTTTTAAAATTCAGACTTCAAAGAAATTTGCTGCCTGCCGCCAGAAGACATTAGGTCACGCTGCTTGTCTTGTATGGCACGGGAGAGTTTTCTCAAGGTCACACAACAAGCATCAGAATTGATTGTTGTGCCTCTTGGCATAAATTTCACTAACAAAGTCCCTTTCCTGTCCCAAAAGACAGTTACCATGATCTTTCGCACTGAAATCAAATAACAGGTCGTATCTTACTGTCGGCGAGCGACTCAATCTTCTTGAACATTATAAACTTCAACAGTTTATAATGCTAACATTATAAACTTCTACATAGACAGATGATATGGCTGCAAATGGCATCTGCTTTCAGCATGCATTGCCATGCGCAAAGAATGCTGAAATCAGATGCTCATGCACACTGCTGCAATCACACATCATTCTCACTCTCATTCACAAATGGACCTTATTTAAAAAATAGTCCTTGTATATTTCAACTTTTTTAAAAGACTGCTGAGATATGATCTGGACTGAAGGTAGTAGCATTTAGGGAATAAATAGTTTTATTAACTTCTGAAAAAAAAAAAAAAGGGAATAATTTATTAATTTGAAAACAAAACTAAATTTAAATTTTGTTGAAATAAACAGGAACAAGGAATACAAAGAGAAAAATGATAAACACAGTCACAATAAACCAGTAAAAACCATTAAGAAAAGAAATTTCTATTCTCATTTATCATATATTTTAAGTCAGAAAAAACAACTTAGAAATAATCCAACCAAAAAGATGTAAACAAGTAATCAGAAGTAAAATAAGAGAAGTTTAAAAATGAAAATACTTAAGATTCACATTGCTGAAGACAAAAATCAACAGAATGCTTTAACAAAAAAAAAAAAAAAACTAAGTAGTTAAATCATCATATAGCAATTTCAGAAAATATTGTAATTAACACAAATCACTTTAATTTCATAAGGAGAATTTCAACAGTTATATACTGATATAAACTACACATTTATAGAAAAATAAGATTAGACTAAGTAATGAAGTAATTACTCAATTATCATCACCATTAATAACAGTCAGAACAAAGAATATAACTAAAATGTTTTTACAATTACTTCATAATATGAAGTACAGTAGAGCATCGATTATCCGACCCCCCGATTAACCGTCACATCGGTTAACCAACCTTCCACAAATTTCAAATGTCCGCTAGTGATGTGGCACTACAATATTTGGCTATGTCTTGACTACTTTATTATTATTTTTGTTAAATTTTTGCATGTTTTAGCTGGCAATACTGGCTCAATCATTGAAGGGAGGCCAGTATTTAAACGAGACTTAATTTTATAATTATAAGTGGTTGTTTATTTTGTGAGCAATAAAATAATTTTAAAATAATTTTTAATGATACAATAGCNATAGAATAAAATTTGTATAATTGATGTAATCCACCATTTCGTCTATGTCATAAACACATTACACAGTCCTTTTACTTGGGCTTTTGCAGTATGCTTGATTGTGATGTCAGATAATCACATATCACTTATAGAAGCAAGCATGAGTCATTTTTGACAGTTTTAGTACAACCATGAAATTCAGAAGTGCATAGGAACAATTTTTAAACAGACCCCTAGTTAGCCACTTGCAAAATAGGCATATTCATCTGTTCAGCCTACATTCCACAGTATTGGTATGAACTGACTGATTTGAGATTCAGCATACTAGCAATTCTATATGAATAAAACACCTAAATGTGTTTTTAAATTAGCACACTTGTTTGAGAATGTAAATGATCGTTCTGCTGTTTTTAGAGGAATATTCTGTAAGTCCATAATTTACATGTGACTTCTATAGAAACTGTGGAAAATTCATAGTCATTGGTATCTCCATTACTCAATGGAGCTCTTGATTAAATGTTGTTAAATATTATGCCATAGTTTTGAAACAATAAAAAATGTAGTTATGTAGCTTCATGGAGAAGAGGTCACTAATTGCAAAAAGAAAAAACTAAAATTTGTTTATAAAAAAATTATGTATTTATTTTTACTGTTCAAACTTGAGTTGCCTTCTTCAAAGTACTCTCTGTTTGATGAAATGCACTTATCAAGATGTTTTTTCTCACTGCTTAAAACACTTTTTGAATTCATCAATTTTAATGTCTTTTAGCTCTCTGCCATTTTTTGGTTCCCCTCTTCCACATCAGAAGATCTTTATCTTTAGAGAACTTTTTTCATCTGGGGAAACAAAAAAGTTGCAATGGAGAAAGATCAACTAAATAAGGAAGGTGAAGCACAAGGTCATACTGTTTCAGACCAAAAACTGCTGAACACTCAGCAAAGTATAGGTAAAAGTGCTGTCATGGTGGGAAACCTACTCATTTGTTTGCCATAACTCAAGATACATTAATTATGGAGTTTTGGTTTTTTCCAAGATAAATCATCTTGAATTTTAGAATTTATTTTCAATGGGAAAGAAAATAAGCATTATAATAGACATTTAAATTATATAGAGAAGATGCACTAGCAACATGGACAAATAATTTTTAATTAAAAACTGAAGCTTGAACATAGTCCAATGTTAAAACAAGTAAAGTTAAAAACAAAAAAATTGAAGTCACCAAAATGCATAAAATGTTTCTGCCAAAATGATTATCAAGTTTCAAGATCACTTAAAAAAGTAAATGAATGAGAAATTTCACAATAGCTTTTTGGTATATATGATTTTCTTAAGGTTACTGAAGATTGTATCAAGATTTGTGAAAAATGTTTCTTCCACAGATCTTGATGCAACTTTCTCAAAACTTCCAGACAAAAATTATAGTTAATCTTTTAACCCGGAGGAACAAATGCACAGTCCCTCTCACATCAAAAAATAGATAGAAAAACAGAAAAATTTTGAAAAGAAGTTCACTATTGCAAAATATGGCTTTTCACAACAATGCCATCTGGAAAATAGATGCAGACAAGTTCATTGAACATTCACCTAAACAGAAAGATTGAATTAGAAGTAGCCCACCATCCAAAAGAGAATTTTTTTTGGAGAGTTCTCTCCTCATACATGTAGCACGATTGTTATTTCAGAAGAATCAGATATGAGAGAAACTGATACATTCAAACTGATTTCCATTTTCTTTGTGATGCAATTTTGCATCTTTCATAATTCTTGTCTTTGGAAATAGTCAGAAGGTGAAAAAATTTAGTGACTAGCAAAGATGCTTTTGTATCAATAGATGTAATATACTGCATTTGAAGCTTATTGCAGGTGTAGTAAGAGGTAAAGAAAATGCTTCTATAGTAACCCTAGAAAAACTAACAGTCTAGGAAACTATGTTTTAAGTATGCTCCCATTACCTCCTGTGATGTTGAATGTTCTTTCACCAGATACAAATCAGTATTTTTAACTAACAAACAATGTTCTACTGTTGGAAAACATTCAGTAATATTTAGTTATGTATTGTGGCATGTATGCCAAAAAAAGCCAAAACTTTATTTGCCTATGAAAATTTATTATTATTCAGATTGAAATTTATATAAAATTATCACATTCCTACCATTTGTACATTTCTTATTTCATTCATTTCAATACCACAATTGAATATCACTTATTATTTAGAAAAAAATACAGGCATATCATTAACATATTTTTAAAAAATTTTTTATGAATTTGCATGTATATTTCTTACATTTTATTATTCAGAATAAACTTTCAAGGTTTAGTTAAGATAATGAAAATATATTCCAGTCAAATTATATATAAATTATCAAAAATTTTAAATAAATTTACCTATTAACAACTTCAGCAACTAGCGTTTTTCCTAATATTAAATCTTTATCCGTTAAATGATGCAGCATGATTTTGTTGTCAGCATAATCTATGAGCCCATATAACTGGCATTTTATTGCCTAGAATAAATTAACAACAGATGCTCTTCAACAGATATAAAATTCCAAATAAGTTATGTTAACAGAAACAAATAGTAAAAACACAGATAAATTAATTACAGGTATCCCTTGATTAACACAACTAATTAATCCCTTGATCCTACCACATATATCAAAAGATGGCATTTATGTTAAGTAAAGACAGCTGGTAAAGTCACATAAATTAAGTCTTATGCCATGTATATAAAAGGATTGCCACAATTAATTTCACATGTTAATCAAATCCCGCATTAAGCAAGAGATACCCATATATTAACATAATTCATTCCAATTAAAACTTACTAGTAAAAATGTTGGGTCCTTCAAAATAAATTGGAATTTTAAATAATTCACAATTTTATTATTATAAATTAAAATTTTTTTCATACACAATCAAATAATTAATTAATTTATCAATTCAAATTTGTTAAAAAATCATTAAAGTTATTATAAAGCATGCTTTTATTAACTGAATCAGTATTAAACATTTCTTAGGCTTCTGTCAAATAGTGACAGAATATGAAAAGAATCCGGCTTTTGTCAGATTTAAATCTGGCAGATCTGAACCTAACAGAGAGAGAGAGAGAGATTTCTAAATGACACTATTAGCATTAAAAATATTATGATATAAATAAAAGATGCAATTGAATCACAAATCACCATACACACTTTTTCCAGCAAAGTAATTTATTAGCACATACAAACGTCTTTGGCTTATTTAAGAAACCTGCTTCAAATTCAAGCATTACATTTGAAAGTTAATAAAGAATTCTAGTTTAGAATGCTCTGAAAATTCAATAAAATCATATTTTTTGATAGACTTAGTGCATACCATAAATTTACAAAATTAAATATAGATATAATATATCCACAAACTATATAAAACTTATATAAACATGAAACTATAAAATATAATTTATAAATTAGGTTTTTGTTTTAGCCTTTTACTGTTAATCATGCTCCTCTATTTTACTGAAAGAGTATGTATACTGTACAGTGATTCTGTATCAGTTCCAGCTTGGACAAATGACAATAGAGATGCTGTTGTTTGTATTATTGCAAAGACAATATTCAAGTTTAAAAACATATAGAACATAATTTATTGAACAAATCTTATCTCTGCATTTACAGAGTTAAACCTTGTTAACATAAACATACTTAACAAAAATTATTTTTATCATAAACTGTTTACCAATTACCCATCAAATTCCATGTGGATTTTGTTTTTTGTTATTAATGATACTGTTATTTTTTTAACAACAGCATATTTAACATGATATTATGTTTTAAATAAATTAACAATCATCACCAAAACAAAAATTTCTTCTCTTGATGCAGTTAAATTTTTTTTTCATATTATCTCAATTATGCATTAGAATCTAAAATTTCAGTAGAGAAAGTTGTTCAGATATGTTTGCATTCTTTAAAAGATTACCAATATGGAATAAGGGAAAAGACTATTTTGACTGAAGGAAACTGGATTTTCAATAGATAAAAGTTTAATTTCAATTTCTATACTTTTAAGGCATAATGCTATTCACCCTATGAAAACATCAAAACTTGCAAACCAGTTCATTTTATAGTTGTGACCAGGGCTGTGGAGTCGCGTAAAAATCTACCGACTCCAACTCCGACTCTTCCTTACCATCCGACTCCGACCAGGGGCAAATTTGTTACTGAAAGAGACCCGGAAATTCTGATGTCATCACGTGACCTCAGAATAAAAGATTCAATAAATGAGTTCTAATAAAGATAGAGTGTAGAAACTTTTTATTCCAAAGCTAAAAGACTTCTCTAAGTAATATATAAATATGTATTCGATAATTTTTACTTTTCCGGATGTTATATATAACAGATGGAAGTGTAGTGCTTGGTCAAAAAATGACCCCTCCCAAATTTTTACATTTTTTTGGACTCGGGACACCTTGAAATTTCAAGATATGCAAAAGATTCGAGGTTTTTTCTATATGTGTGGATGTTAGACTGTGTGGGGGGGGCATGATTTTGTTCACCCTGTTTGAAGCCTAATAATTTCTGT